GCAACGACCTAGAAGTGACTTCTTTTTGGTCCTGTAAGCAACATGCCCCAGGCACACCTGCAGCAAGTGAGCACCATGACAGCATTGTTTGAGATGGACCCAGGTTTCTGCACACAACCTCAACAAGTCACCCCAAAATGCCCTTTCTGTTCCACATTTTTTTCAGCAGCAGTGGAGCAATCCCTTTGTCCCTGGCAGCTGCTGATCCCGGGGTTCAGCCTCAGTGAGCTCCATCAGTGCTCCCTGACAGCAGCAAACACAGGCAGTGCAGAGTGCCCACGTCTCCTCCAGCCTCTGCACAGAGGGGGCCGTGTTTTGGGAGCTGACAGGTACAGACAGAGCCTCTGGCACAGTCTGAAGGATCATATCCTACATTTCCTAGAGTAGAAAGTCATGAGTATTTTGTCACAAGTGTCACAGGGATAACATTCCCTGCTCAGGCAGTACAGAAGGTGTGAGGGAGGGAGCAGGAATCCTCAGAAGTTGGATGCCTCCCTAACAAAACCAACTGCCATCAGAAGGAACCCTCACACAGAGAGGTGTGCACAGGAAACCTGTCACCACGGACCCAGAGCTATGGGTGTCAGGAGCAATAAACCCCACAGGGGTCTGAGACCATGAACACATGGGGAAAAAGGTTCATAGAATCCCAGAATAGAATCCTAGAACATCCTGAGTTGGAAAGGACCCACAAGAATCATCGAGTCCAACCCCTGGCCCTGCAAGGCACAGCCCCAACAATCCCCCCCTGTCCCTCAGAGTGTTTTCCAAACCCTCCTGGAGCTCTGGCAGCCTTGGGGCCGTGCCCACTGCCCTGGGGAGCCTGGGCAGTGCCCCAGCACCCTGTGGGGGAAGAACCTTTCCCTGAGATCCAACCTAAACCTCCCCCAACACAGCCTCATGCTGTTTTTGCTGAACTCTCTTCACTGCACTCCAAGGACAGTCACACAGAGCTTCACAGGAGGAGCCATCCCACAGATCACACCATGCCAATAAGCAGGAACATTATTTTTAATATCAGCCTATGATGACTTCACATATGAGCTTGGCAGCTTTTTATTTTTGAACAGTTCCACAAAGAGCAGGTGTTTAACCCAAGCTTTTCAGAAGTTTAGGACAGTCAGGTTTGAAAATACCAACACTTTATCAGGGTGAGGGGAAGACAGAGAAACTAAAACGCTCATGACAGATTAAGTTTCAGCTTCAGCATTTTGTCCAGAAGGACTAACAGTCTGTGTATGTACAGCTGCATGGACAGCAGGCTAAAGATGACCGTGCTCTCTCAGAAAATTTAGAGGTATTGATCCATGCAGTGCACAATCAGACATCCTGACACAACGAGCCATCAGCATTCATGCTGGAAGAAATTCAGCAAGCTTAGAGTGTCCAGAGGCCTGGATTTTGGTGTTAACAGGTACTGAAGGAGGAGAAATGTTTAAAAACATTCACCTGTAAGAAGAGTCCAGCACAGCACACTGTCTGGAAACCCAGACCCCAGAATCTGGATGTTGCAGCAAAGTCAAGCACCTCCAATGCAAAACACAGCACAGGATGTATTTCTTCTGCTGAGTCCTCTGGCCTGAGGTAGTTGCTCCAAGGAAGGGGACATTTAACATCATACACATCACTGGAGAGGGAACCAGTGCAGAGCACAAGCCTGGCCCCACTGTGTCTGCAGTCAGTGATGCAGGGACACAGTCTGATCAGTGCAGGCTGACTGGACCAACCCAAAACTTCTCCTTGCTCTCACACTCATGAGCCAGAGCCACAGGAAGGGAGGATTTCGTTGATGGAATCGGGTCAGTGTCTACTCACAGATCTCAGCAATCACCACGACAGGCCAGGAGATGCAACAGTGAAAAGCTTCCCCTCAGGCTGGACACTGCACACTGTACTGGGAAGTGGGAACCAGCCTTACAACACTTCCCCAGGGTTCAGAGCCCCAGGTACGGCTGGTGCTCGATTAAGATCTGACAGAAAGGACAGTATCCAAGAATTCTATAGTTCTCTTATGAAAATCCTGGATGTCCAAGACATGCTCCCCATGAACATGTGCAGTGGGGAGCAACAACTGTTGCAGAGCAACAATCCAGTATCTGCCCACTGACCCCAAGGACTGATTGCTCATCACAAGTCCAGGAAAGCCATGTCTGGAAGTGCTGAGGAATGCAATACACCAACTGGGAATGCAGAGCCCAGCCCTCTACACCTCCAGTCTGATCAGGAAAAGCTGGAGGAGCCCTGCACCCTGCTAACACTCATCTACTGTGCACAAGCTTCTCTGTACAGCTACTGAAAAAAAAAATGAACAGAAAAAGAAACTGTCACGTCTCAAACAACAACCCAAACTCAGTCACACTTTCACCAATGGTGACAACCCACGTGTACACAAAGCTGAAAATTCCTGCTAGGAATGTGAACTCACACTATGGTTTGCTGCTTCCCTAAAGCCCACCAATAATGAGATAAAGGATGAGCAGTCTGGTGGCTTCAAAGAGTTCCTCTACACTTTATAACCACAGTCTAACACATGGAACACAGATTGTTCAATACTGTGCTGCATTTGAAGCAAAACCCATTAACATATATAATGATCATAATGTCCTTTGCTCGAACAAACCCAAACTTTGGCTTCCAAATCAATTCTTGAATCCAGTAATCAGTCTCCAGAAAGCTCAGGCCAGTTCAATAAGTCATTAAAAACTGCATTCCAGGCAGAAGACATTTCATTAATAGACAATGAGTTGAGAAAAAATTTACATATCAGTGAATGTTTTGCGAAAAGTAAGCGTTATCAACCAAACACTGATTTTAACTCTGCAAATACAGACAATAAAGGGAACTCCAAAGACAAGACCCTTGATTATTAGAACTTCAGGGAGGCACCAAAGCTGTGATTTCACTGAAAAGAACCGAACTGATCCAAAAAGTCTCATTCCAACAAAAGCAAAGGTTACCTCCCTCCTGTCCAGGCCACTCAACCCTGCTATGCCTCACATGCCAATACTGTGACCTATCTGACCAGAAACCAAGGTCAGGGAGCTGAACAGGTTTTTCTGCAGCTCCTGTTTCCTGCTGTCTGCCACGGGGCCAGGGAAATGCAAGTGGAGGCACAAGGAAAGCAGAATTCTGCCACAGGACTGTTCTGTTCAGGGGCAGCCACACACCAATCTGTTCAATGCAGAGTTTGAGAACAGACATTTAATGCAAACATGAAAAGGCAGAAAGAAAAGCAAGAAAGGAAGAAAAAAGGTTTAGAAGGTTCCCAAAGAAGCCAATTCTTAGGTACTGATACTCCAGAACTATCAGTGAGCATGGAGATGACTGGGAACTGCCCCTAACAGTGTTACAAGTGAATGAAAAATTAGGTAGCAACCAAATTCAGTGGTGTGATCACTGCAGAATCCAACACCTGCAGCCACTTACAAGAAAAGCCAGCATTCTATCTGCAGGCACCCAAAGACTCCATGCAACACTAACAGCACTTTTACTTTTGATTCTTCAGGTTAAGAACATCCTGAAGCACAGAAGTGTATGGTTTGGACTTCAAACTAGCCAGCACTGTCAAGTTCCAAGTTAAAGTTAACCAGACTTCAGCAGTGTTTGAAGCTACAGGGAACAGAGTACAGGAAGAGTCTCAGCTTCAGGCAGTGATGAATCTTTTGCTTCCCACCAAAAAAATCCTTCCCTCCCACGCAGGTGATTTTGTGCTTATTTGACAGTCTGAGGTGTGGGTCAGCTATGACTTGCTATCATTAAACAAGGGGTCTTATTCCTTGCAAAACCAGCCTTCAGAGCAAGCCTCAACTTCTGAGCACCTCAAAGTGCACAACAACATCTGGGCTGAACACTCAGCTGCCAAAAAATTGAAAGAAATCAGTATTTGATCGTGACTGAACATATACATCCCATAAGTACACATTTAGACAGACAGGCATCATGTGAAACTTCAGCTGAGAGATATCAGGAAAACCAGAGACGTGGAAATCGGAGAGGCTGCTCTGAAAGGAAATCCTAAAGGTTTTAATTACTCAGTTCTCATGTCTATTCTCCAGCATATAAAATAAAGTACTATAGATACAAGAGTACAAAGAATCTCATGCATTCCATGAGCTCTCCTGCAGCTTTCCCAGCCAGTGGAGCAGTCTCAGGCTTGTTCCCTTATGGATTAGATAATGATCAGTATTGCTGGAGTCTGAAATACAAGACTGAGCATGTGCAGCAGAGAATTCCACAAGCATTCAGCTGCAGGCTGGGAACACACACATGTGCACAGCTAGTTAACAGCACACATACTTCCCCCCCCAGAAACAACCACAAAATCCAAGATTCTGCGAATTCTGAACGAGAACAACCAAAACCTGTAAATGAAGTATTTTAACAGTACAAGGACCAAAACCTCTTCACAGAGCAGCTAAAAGCTCCTGCAACTAAGCAGATATGGCTTGTGGAACCAGCTGCTCTGTCAGCACTTGTCTGGCTTCAATGAAACTTAAAGTTTCACAGATCTGAACAACTCATTCCTCTCATATTTTAAAGCTACTACTACCAATCCTATGTAAAGGAACTCACGAGTTAAATTCCTCAATGCCACTTCAGACACTCGCCACACCTTTATTTTACCGATCAAAATCAGAGCAAAACGTTTGTTAGTAAATTCAGAGCTCTGGTAGAGTCAAAACCACTCAGACTGTAGGAAGAATAAATCAGCTGGTGACTAAATCCAAGCTAGTTTTAGACATGCCTGTTGATGTTCAGATCTGGGAACTGTACTTCTTGGAATTCTTAGCCACAATAGTCATTAGTTTAGCCTTGAGCATTCTATCCTCCTAATACCCACTATCTAGTCCTGGCATTACTGGAGTTCCAGGCATAGCTGTCAATAGTTTGATTACACACATGCACGAATATACAATATTTCTACATTAAGGTGCATTAAATCAAGTATTTGCTTGAGCAGCTTACCCCACAGTGACAATTCCTGATGCACTGGATCTTACCTGCAACTTTGTCCCGAATAAGTTTTGCAGACTCCACTTCGCCGATGCTGCTGAACAGACTCCGTAACTCATCCTGTGTCATGTTCTGAGGGAGGTAGTTCACAATTAAATTTGTCCTACCAATGTCATCCCTGCAATCTTCAGCCATGTGATCTTCATAACCATTAGACATTTTATAATGTATCTGCAAAGAGGAGAAAAACCCCAGTGAGTTCTAGATCTTCGCATTTCAATAAGCCAAACTTCCTCCACCTGAAATAAGTCTGAATGTTTATTTTAAAAACTGAGAACAAGCCACTGCTTCAGCAATGCATTTTTTTTCCGCTCACAAAACATCATTTGTTGAAAATTCCAGAACAATTCATTCTTTCAAACTCACAAGCACAGCATTTTACAGAACTATGCACCATTAAAGAGCTCATCAAGATATTTTTCTTTTTACAGTAACAAAAAGCATCAAGACAGATTTTGCAGACGTTCCTGTAAACCAAAATATTCCCAACAGCTAAGGCAAAAATCAGGTTCCCCGTGTCCAAACACTTAACCAGCCAGAACCAAACTGCCACCTCAGCCTGAATTCCAACCTTATGCCCAGAACTCCTCCAGACAGAGAGGGAAGCAGCCAGATCTACTGACCCAGTTCAGTGTCTCAACTGGGGACTATTTATTTTCTGTATGTTTTCCCCTGCACCTGTTCAATGGTGTGTTTGGTGCTGCTTAACTGTGTGTATGTAACCTGTGAGCCTGTGCTGCACACTGAATTTGGGGCATATTGAGTATTTGACAGTTTCTATTTTTGCACCTTTTTAAGGAAAGCCTTGAGAAAACATCCAGAAATTCCATCACAGAAAGGTACTCTCCACCTCAGTCAGCCATCAGGGACTGAATCCTGACATTACAGGTGCAGAGAACACCTACAACACAAACTCACACCGGATCCAAACTGCTCATGGCCTGACAGAATCGGAGATTTTAAAGCGCTTCGACCACTTTGAAACAGTCAAAATCAGGATATCTAAACCCTGTTCCTGCAACAGGATCTGCAGATCAGATCTAAAGGATGAGCCCTTCCACACACAGCATCACTACTGACAACCACAAGCTGAACAATGGCAGAAGTCAGGAACAGCAAGTAGAAATCCTCAGCCTACAAAGGGAACATTCCCTGCACGAAGGGACTTCAGGCCCTTCACCAGAAGCTGCTGTTCAGTCCTGTCTGACATTTATTTCATACTCTCTTCTTGCAAAGGTCAGATTTTTTTAACTGGCAATCCCTGAGCACGTCATTATAGAACAAACCATGAGAAAACTTATCTAACACAGTACAGATTTGACCTGAATCTTTACCTTTTTAACACAGCATTAAGAGCTGGTAGCTCAGAGCAGGAGAGGTCTTGCTCCCCCTCGCCCACAGATCAGGTTCTACCCCCCATTTCTGTGTTTGAAGTGTCAACTCAAGCCTGCCCCAGCACCCTCTGCCCACAGGATAACCAATCTGTACCGTGAGAGCAATGGAAAACTACACAGGAGGGAAGCCCTTTTTGTTGTGTCAGCAATTTGAATCTGCTTCCCTTGCAGTGAGATAAGCACCAGTTAATGCCAGAGGACTGGAGAGCAGGGGGAGCACAGCAAAGCTGAAATCAGGGGAGGAGATGCCCCCCATCCAAGGATTTTTAAGCCTCCAGGTTGTCTCAGTTGTGCAGTGAAATTCTATCATTAGATACACTTTCCCTCCCTGCTCTGTCAGGACTGGCTGAGCACACTCTCAGAGAAGTTTCCTGTTCTGCTAAACAACACTCAACGAGCTGAACTGTCTCTGTTCACTGTACCTGAGCTACAAACCCACATACACACAACATTTTTTAAATTATCTTAATGGAAGGCAACTTTACTTGCCTTTGTCCTCTACAAAATTCAAGCCCTACTAGCACAAGACACCAATATGTTGATGAGTCTGGAAGTTGTATGATACAAAAAGAAGAAACACTGAGATTTTTCCATCTTTATGAGACAAAAGTTCAAATTTCCTTCACTGTAACCTAATTTACCCAGCATATAATAGAAATCCTCCTGGTGCCAAGATTAAGAAATTGCTATATATTTCCAAAACCAGAAACTTAAGGAAAAGAGTTTGGGGTTTTGGGGTTTTTTTTAACCCCCAAGGTGTATCTGCTGCCTAAAAAGGAGGCACCACAGTCACAAACCAAGCACAGAAACTGTCCCAGCACACCATGATGGCAAGTTACCAAACTTTTATCTGGCATTAAGCAGAATTGACAGGAGTTTGGCAGGGGCTGTTGACTTTCCATCATTGTCCCACAGCCTCCAACCCAACTGCCTGCAGTACTCGCTGTCTGCACCTCCCGGGATACACAAGGCATGCCCAGGGCAGTGCTGATTCAGAGGCATTGGGAGTGGGAAGGAAACTTCCACCTGCTTTGCTTCAGACATTTGGAAGAAATTACAGGAAGTCCTTGCATAGAGGCCTGGCAAACATTCCCTGGGGATACCAGGAATGAAGCATGAGGGAGTGATAAAGGCACAGTGAAGAGGAAAAGGAGCAGAGCATGGAGAGAGAAGATGTTTATTTCTTCCTAAACTTTCACCAGGCACTTACACAATCTGTTGCAAGATTAACACTGTCCAACCATCCTGGAAGTTAATGGGAAACCACTTCCTCCGTGATGGAGTGTTAAGGAAACTCCCCCATCTGACCAGCCTGATGCCACTCGGGGGGCCCCACTGGCACCAGCCCAGACTGTCACTGCTGGGACTGAAGCCCCTTCACAGCAGCAGCTCCAGTGATCTGATAGGGGCCCCACATGACCCCCCCACACCCCACACTCCTCCAGTCAGACCAGTCCCCCTCACCAGCTCAGCCCCCAGGTTCCCAGAGCACAGCCCCAGACTCTGGTTCCTTTGTGGTGCAGGGACACAGAACAGCTCGAGCTGGTGCCCCTGGGGAGGGACCCCAGACAAAGGCACCTCCAGGGGGGGCTGATATTTAATATGGGGTCTTCTCAATGTGTCAGGGGAGGTTTAGGTTGGATATTAGGAAAAGGTTCTGGAACAGGCTCTCCAGGCAGGTGCTCACAGCCCAAAGTCTGCCAGAGTTCAAGTACACCCCCCACCAGGCACACCCTGCAGCTCACAGTGCCACTGCCCACCTGCATCAGGTGTGTTCCCAACAGGTGAACAGCTCTCATGCCAGCAAAAATAAAAACAGCCCCTGAAGAACTGTAACCTTTGAACACTGAAAAGAATTCCAAAAAGGGGGTATAAGATGGGAAGGATGCCTGTAACAAGACTGGTACTTTGCAGCCTTCCCAAAACAGGCCTTCAATTCTATGTCCAAAAAACCCGAAACTTTAAGACTACCTTTGGTTGCACTGCAGCTCCCAAAATGCCAATTTTTTTTAAAATAACCAAACTTTGCAGAAGTTTCTTTGAAAAGGCAGAGCCACTTTCTTCTGTGGGTAAGATGCCCTCAAACCTGTGATGCCAAGGGAGCATCGAGCAATGAAAAGGAACCACATGTGCTGTGCCTGAATCCTCCCTCCACTGTGCAGGTGCCCAGATCCTCCCAGCCCAACACTTCACCACCTATGCCAAACACTGCTCAGGCACCCACAGCCAGGCTGGCACTTCCAGGACTGGACTGAAACGTTCTCCATGGTATTATTTTCAGAAATGTTCTGTCATGCTCTGACCAGGACAATCACCTTCTCACAAGAGCACAGCAGATCCCAGAAGGTTTAACGGTTCTGGCAACAGACCAACAAAAGTCTTTTCCAAACAATACTCTATCTTCATACAGAATTCTAGGAATCAGAGCTATCAATGCTTTCACTGCAAGATGTTTGCTAAGAAGGAAGACCTGTACAGATTTGAGGAGATCATGTGAAACAGGAACACTGGTAAGGAGAACTGTCTTTGACATCAGGCAAGAGGTTTTGTCTATCTTCACCTTGTTCACAGGACTGCAAAGGCATAGACCCCTTCTGGGATCACAAACTTGAATGTAGATACCTTAACAGATGCTCATGGAATCCCAGAATGGTTTGGGTGGGAAAGGACCCTAAAGGTCATCTCGTTCCACCCTCTTCCATGGGCAGGGACACCACTCCCCCTTGTCCTGTCCCTCCATCCCTTGTCCCCAGTCCCTCTCCAGCTCTCCTGGAGCCCTTTTAGGCCCTGGAAGGGGCTCTCAGCTCTCCCTGGAGCCTTCTCTTCTCCTGGTGAACCCCCCCAGCTCCCCCAGCCTGGCTCCAGCCCTCAGAGCATCTCCAGGGCCTCCTCTGGACCCACTTCAACAGGTCCATGTCTTTCTTGTGTTGGGAGCCCCAGAGTGCTCTGGGTGGGGTGGCTGATGATGTGAGCATTTCAGCTACTGCAGAACCTAAGATGGGAAATTGTGGCACCTTCACTGGAGCACTGGGAATGGGCCACAATGAGCACAGCACAGTCCTTAAACCAGCAGACCCGAGGCTGCTGACGCAGTTACTGATCCCAGACCAGCCTTTCTCTGCACTGAAGTGCCAGGCAGCATCACCCAGGACAGCCTGTGCAGGAAGGGCTTCAGGAGACAGTGCCTGACAGAGCCCCTGAACTGGTGAAATCTCCTTGTTGCAGTTGTTAGTGGTGAATGAACAGGGACCCTGAAACCTGGAGAGTCCTGCCCATGAGCTGCTTTATGAACTCAGACTTCAGTCTCATGGGTCTGTTCTTGAGCTCTGTCTTGTGTATTTGAGAATCTCGATGGGGTGCTTCAAGTAGAACCTCAGGGCTATACAAAGAAGAGCCCTCCTCCTGTTTCTCCAGCACACAGATATTTGTTGACATGCCTCCCCCGGCAGCCATGGCTGACTCAGAGGCAAACAACAAATTTGGTTATCTTAGACACTGCTCTGGCTCTCAATCTGGAGCTGTTGAGCACTTTCTTGGAGACCTCACCTGAAACAGAACAAAAAAGGACACTACAACATCCAGGCAAGTGCCAAACCAACCCACATATCTGCAGAAGACAGCTGCAGAGCTGCTGAGATGTCCAGGTTTGAACACGTGCCAAAACCAATGCCACACACACAGAAGGGCCTGAAGGGCCTCCAGAGCCTCCACAAGTTTAAACTGTTTCAGGAAAAGTTTTCAAGAATGATCCGACACAGTATTGCCATGCAAAAACTT